TTTGATTTCCGTTAGAGCAATTTTTATCAAATCGACTAGAAGGCTCAAGAAGATGACTTTTTTTCCAGTAGTTTACTAGTAAGAGCAATGTTTTTTCAAATCCAATGTTGCCGCTATCTTGGTTTGGTAGTGACAGTCTGAGAAGTCCTGCGTAAGCAAACTTCTTTCAAATGAAGCTAACTTTCTAGACTTTTACAAAAGCTGCTAATGGACTGGAAGTGGTGATTTTTTCTTTCTTGCACAAACAGGGGAAACAAGACTTAAGACTTATGAGATGCAAACCTTTGCAACTCACTGGAAAAAACAGTGTTGCCGCCGCTGTCGCAAATCGTGAAAACCCTTTTGAATACGAAGACGAACGGGTTTATTCAAGACATTTGGGAAAGTGTGGGAAATATGCCAACAGATTAGTAGTCAAAGTCAAGAAAGAAAATTGCAGCGTTGCTGATCGTGCGAAAATTCCCCAATGCTCGCTCAGGCCGCAGAATGACTGACCAAAACCAAACCGTGATAATCACATTGATAAACGAATGCCATGATGAATTGTGAAGTAGTTCAACTACTGATAACGATGTAAAATGTGCAAAGTAAATAGGCTTTTCGATTCCAAAATTGCTTAAACTCGCCCAAAACGCGCGTAGGAAAACTGTTCGTTTAGGCTTTGGGTACCTGAGCGCAGACAATGACTGGTAAATGCTCAAATTCCAAAGAAAAAAGACGAAAATCAATAAGACCGCTCAACATTATTTCCGTTTGACTATTTGGTGACTTTATACCTGCTAATGGGTCCAAGGGACGAACGCCAAAGTTCTATGGGGGGCAGCAAATCCAACTGTAACTGAAATTTGCGCAAGCAAAGAAAATGGGAAATAGAGTGTACGAGAAACGCTTCAAACATTTACAACAACTTACAACCTGTCCTACATTCAAACCATGCAGACGAAAACGTCCCCAAAAGACTTTCTGTTGTGAATGAAGAAGCCGATAGTTCTGGTCGCAGTTTGGCTCATTGGGCAACAAATAAGATTTTCCAATTTTCGGATTTGCTCGCTTGTGCGATGTTTCAATTGAAGGGTCAATGCGTCATAATGGCGAAAAGAATGGAAAAGATGCTGGCCGTTTTACCTGCAATTTCCGTCTCGCACCCCGCCCGTTACCGATAGTGCCCTTTGCGAAGGTACACAGGTACAGCCATTTGCGTGATAGACAGTGTTGCCTATCTTGACGCTCTTTCTTTAACTTTGGAAAATTTAGTGAAGAAACTGCACCAAGCTTTTGGCACGGCCCCTAAAAGATCAAATTGCAAATTCCGCTAAAAATCATCATTTTTGAAATGCTTAGAGTGCTTGTGCGAGCACAAGCATGATGTAGCGCCATGTGACGTCATGCGCACCAACATCGAATTTTGGACCGATTTAAGTCCCGTTAGGGGAACCCCCTCCTCCCTTAAATACATCGTTTTTGAAAGAGAAAGAATAGAAAAAGATAAAGTTCTTAACGTGAAAAGTTCTTGGACGTGACGATCGCGTTCGTGTGCGGCTAAAAGTTGCCCTTTTTTTGGAAAGGTTTTGGATTGTTTCGACTTGTGCAGTTCGCATACTTGCCAGTTATTTAACCTTGTCAGGCATAAAGGGAAAAAGAGACGAGGGTGAGATGTATCCTCCAACCACATGGCACCATTACCCAAAATATGTAAGTTGCGGAATTTTATCCAAACCTCCCCAAAATCAAATTAGAGTTTTTGGAATTTCTCAAAAAATCCGTGGTGATGGCAATAAATCGAAACTCCATTCGCAATAAATTTTCCGTCGAACGCGGGAAATCTTTGAACTTTGATTTGAAATAAAAAAACAATTTTTAAATCTTAAACTTTTTAAGTCTTAACCAGTGAATTCTGAAAATTGTAGGAAATCCTCTAAAAATTACATCCCAGCGAAGCTTGCAGGTCATTTTTTCGCATTTAACAATCAACAAATTGGAACAGAAAAGCAGAATGTCGAAGTAGTCACCACTATTAGTCTCGGATTCAAATAAAAAAATGTCAACCATTTTTTATTCAAAAAGTCGACTTTGAACCGTTGTAGGAAATTTTCTGAAGATGGCAGGCAAGCGAAACTTTCAGGGCCTATTAAGGACACTTTTTCGCATCTCCGAATTGGCCAATTTGAATCGCTTTCGGGTTAAATTAGCGGCCGAATATCAGAATCCCCCAGTTTCGGTCGACATGTTTTGAATCTTAAGCTGCAAATCTCCATCAGAACAGTGAAATTAACTGAAAAATCTCTGTTAATGACTTTCAGGACATCTTAAGAAACTCATTTTTTTAATCGTGTGCAATCAATTTTGATTAAAACACACTAAAGTTTGAAATTTTGCAACAAGTGCCTTGATGATGGCATCCAACCGAAACTTTCTAGGTAAATTAAACAAACCTTTTTCTTACACAGTCGTTGGCAACACTCGATTATTTTGTCAATTTTGGGCCATTCAATGTTCCAAACCCCTCTGACCGTTGTTGTCTCGCCGGCAGCGTTGCCGCTACGACTGGTTTTTCCGCGTTGGCCCCAACACAAAAGGGCACGTCTCACATATGAGACTCGGCTAATTTCAAAAGCTTTGGGTTTCCCATAAAAAACGAATGTTTTGAATCGTGAGCGGTCATTTTTGATTGAAACACTGAAGTTTTACATTTTTTTGGAAAGTTGCCCGATTGTGGCAACAAACCACAACTTCCTGGGCATCTGAAACAAAACTTCCGCTTTCCAAAGGCGAAATTGGAAAGTTTCGATCAGTTTGGGTTTCTTATAAAAACGCATTCATTGAGTGTCGAGTAATAGTCAAGTAAATCCGTGAACTTCGTGATCAATGAGCTTCAATTTTTGCGAAAACGTGTTGAAACAGTTAACTTTGCAGGTTTTTGAGAAAATCCCTGATGATGTCAACAAACCGGAACTTGCAGGGTCCTAAAATAAATTAAAAACAGTGAACTTCGACAATTTGCAGAAAAATTCCTGATGGGGGCATCAAATCCAAACTTTCAGGGCCTTTTAAGCAACAAAAGTTTCAATCGAGCTTTTGATTTCTAGTTTAAAACAGTAAGATTTCCCTGAAGAGCGCAGCAATCAGAAACTTTCAGAACATGTGAAAGCTAGATTCTCACCCACACAGTTAATTGTAGCAAATTATTGTTCCCGAGTTCTATTCGTGCAATTTATTGCGCAACACAAAATTGCTTAGAAAAATGCCAATAACTGCTAGTTTTTTTAAACTTGAGCAGCATTTGTTGATTAAAATTTATCATTTCGGGGCACATAAAATACACTTTTCCACATGTCAAGATCGGCCAATTTCAACCGCTTTTGGTTTCTATTAGCAATTGTATCAAACAACAAAATTCTTCAATTCAAACACTAAACTTTTTTGTTGGATATTTTGCCTCAAAATGTTCGTCATTTAAAACGACCGAATTTCGTCACCTCTTTCATTAGCAGATTAATCTAAAATTTTAGTAAATTAAGAGCAGTCTTTATATCAATCTGGAATCTGCACTCGAAGATTCGAGAAAATTCGGTGTTTTGAAATGACGAAAATGTTGAGGCAAAATGTCCAACAAAAAAGAAACCAAGCGAACGTCGCAGTTTCGACCAGTTTTTCTCCCGGATTAAAAAAACGGTTTTTTGGAACGTGAGTCATTTTTTGATTAGAAGAGAAACATTGTAGGAGATTAGCTGAAGATGGCCTTCACGTGACACTTTCAGGGCATGTAAAGCACGCTTTTTCACATATCGGGATCAGCAAGTAGCAATTGCTTTTGGTTTCTATTAACAATTGCATTTCTCAATGTGGAGCAAAAATTCACAACTCAAACACTAAACTTTGAAAGTTTGTCGGTCTATCTCTGATGATGGCAACAAACCGAAACTAACGAATTAATAAAACCTTTTTTTCGTTTCCCCCACTTATGGTTTCGTTTGCACAACGCATTCATTGAGTCTTGAGTGGAAATTGTCAACTAAATCCGTAAAGTTTGTCAATTTGAGAAAACATCCCTGATGATGGCAAGAAATCAACTTGGCAAATGTACACATAAAGGGACGAAGTACAGGTTGCACGTTTTGTTCTTGAGAATTTTAAAACCGCAGTCCTTATCTGCGCGAACGCAATGTGCGTGAATTTCACCAAAACCCGGACAATAACATATTAAAAATGATAATTTTAGTTACGTCGTACAAGTCGAACCAGCAAGTGATAAGGAAATTTACTTGGCACGCCGATAAGCTGTTTGGCGTGCATTTCTTGAGGTTTTTCCGGCGGAAAATCGGTCTCATGCAAGTCGGGCGCCTCCGCTGCTGCCTACCATGTGGTATCATCGGGGAAAGTGTGCGCGCCATCCATACCAACGACTCTGAAGTGTGTGTGTGAAATGTCCGCGTTGAAAATTCGCCCGATTTATCGAAATGGGAATATAATTGTAAGTGGTTTGATCTCCACATCGTCCACCCCCCAAAGCCGCCAGCGGGTGGATTTACATCAGCAAACCGTCCACCTTAAATGCGATAATCTGATCTAGGCCGGTTTTCTCGGTTTCGATTGACCACGAAAGTTCTGAGGGTCGAAAAACAAATGCGCTAAACGCACAACATGCGATAAGATAAGGTTTCGTGACACTTGTGGATGTCAATGAACCTTTTCCCGATTGGTTTGCGTGCAAAAAAACTCTTCAGCCTCAATGGGGCCAAGTGGCGAATCAAGATCAAGTTCACCCGAACTCAATCACTCAATATTGCGTAGCAAACCGACTGAAACTAAGTCTCCTAAGAATACTGCCGTTCTCTTATCAGCTGATAAGCAAACTGCCTGTAAGATCGGACTTATTTTAAACTACAACAAATAATTCACATTGAGTATCCATCCATTCGCATCGCTCTGCTGTTGTCAGGCAGCCCGCGCTCGGTCATTTCGCAAATGCCATTTTTTCATTTTCATCTTGGTTTTTCCAGTTGCTGAACGACAAGAATGATGATGTCGACGTTGTGGGCAGGGCTGGAATGAAGAAAAGCGAATTGCTGCAACAATTGCTGAAGAAAGATAGCGACGACGATGACGATAAGAAGAACGAGAACATTAAGCATGAAGATAAACTGTTGCAGAACTTGGGATTCCCTACGTCTTCCACTGGAAGCGAACAGCGACGGGCCCCAAAGCGACCCAGCGACGAAAAAGACGAAAGAGAACACAAGAGGAATAGCAATGGGGCGCAGGTGAGTCCAGAATCTTTTGCAATATTTTCACCAAAATACCCTTCAAAACATTCAACAAATGTGTTAATCGACAAGTTGCATGCCCGGTTTCTGGTAGATTCCCCTTATTGGTTCGATAACTATCGGTCCGCTAAAGTTGTAGGTTCTATAACTTATGGTAGGTTTCTCAACGCG